TATATTTAATTAATATAATGTTTATCTCGAAATAAAATTTGTTATGAAACGATTTAATACTAATAAATAAGTGCTAATTAAATTACAAATAACACGAAAGTATCGAATTATGATTTTATTTATAACTAAGATTTCCATTGCTAACTTTCTCCATACATCGCAATAATCTAGATAGTCAAGACTTCGAAAATTCAAATACGGTGAAATACAAGGAAAGATACGTTTTCGCTACATAGCTTCACCATTAGTTTACAGTTCCCAACGGGTTACGAAGGGTTGCGCATCGCACTTATAAGGGCTAGTAACAGAGAGTTGGACAATATCGCGCTACGAAGGGTAGCTAGTTTCAAGTTATAATTGCTATATGTTAACCAACAATAGGGAAGGTAGGCTGGTAGGGAAAGTAGGCTGGTAGGAAAGGTAAGTAGATAGGGAAACAACCCTCCCATATATACGTTCTTAATATTTTACTTATCACTGGTAAGTTATGTTCAAATTATAAATATGAAAATTAATGAAAATTTGTAATTGAACAATAATTTTCACAAAATGTAACATAATATACATTTTTTAAAATATTTTTTTAATTTAATTTATTAAAAAAAATATTTAATTAAATTAAGTATAATTAAATTATTTATTCTTCACTATTTATTATTTATTCTTCATTATTTATTTTAGAGTATTTTTAATCAACAAAATCTTTTTTCTATCTCAAAAAATATCTTCTATCAAATTAAATTTTATGACTTTCAACTTTATTTATATAAAAATTATTTATATAAAAATAATATAAAATATTTTTTTATATAGAAGATTAATTATTTTTGTTCATGTTTTTATAAAATTTTTCCAATCTTTCCAACCAATTTTCCCATGCTAATTGTAAAGTATCGTCTTTCAATTCATGAACACTTGCAGGTTCTCCATTTGTATAACCAACAACGACTAGTCCTTTATCTATCTATCAATGCAATTGTGTGTAATTATATAATTTTATACATTATTCTTATAAATAATTACCTTAAATGAATACTTATTTGAAGCATTTACAGCTCCAATATAAGCAGCAAGTTGTACAGGTGCATCAAAAGTTGCAGCAAGTGATGCCTTTTTTTTATCTGATTTTTTCCAATCAATTAAATATATCTCATCTCTAAACAAAGATTATTTTAAATAATAAAATTATACATATTCTAAATCTACATATTCAAGAATCAATGTAACATAACAGTATGTATACTATATTATATTAAAATTCTGTAGCAAATTATATTTCTCTTATAATGGCAAAACAAATTTTTATTATACCTATAAGAAGCAATACAATCTACAATGCCTTTATATCTTAATGTTGGATGCATTATATTTTCTTCAAGTGCATAAGTTGTTTGTATGTCATTTAATATTGGTTGCACACTAAAATATACTGATTTAATAGAAGGTGGAATTATAGTTTCTTCATATGACAATACATTTTTGATAACAGAATGAAATAATTTACCATTATTCAATAGATCTATAAATATAACAATCATTATGTCATCTAAAGATCTTGATTATATGAAAAATATTATACCTTTACGATATTTATTAAAATATGTTTCTCCAAACGTATCAATTATATTTTTCTTCCATTTTTCTAAAATAGCTTTAACTTCCAAAGACATCGTTTCATTAAGAATATTCGTTATACTTGGAATTTTTAAGTCTATATTATTCTCAACACATTGTATACCAAAATTTTCTATTGTTTCAGAACCAAAAATAGAAAATGATTTTAAATTTTCCATAATTTTAAATTTATTTATAGTTTTTACTTCATTTATTTTTGGTTTTTCTGATAATTCCAAATCTTCTTTTTTTTTTACTTGTACAATTTTTTTATCTTTTTTTTGTTTAAGCACTTTATAAACAATATTTTTAGATATTATTTGATTTGACTGCATTTCACATGTAGAATTATTATCTAGCTTAGAAGCTTCTGTTGTTTCAACAATTTCATTCTGTTTCTTAATATTTAAATTATACGCATATTTAGTTGAAAATCTTTCTTTCTTAATATTAAATTTTAAAACTGTTCTATACTTTATACTTTGTTTAATTCTCAATCGAATCATATTTGAATATAAATCTATAATATTGTAAAAATATAACAAAAACACTCTTGTTATTATTATCACTTTTTCCTTATAATTATTGACTAACCAAGAGAACTCGCAAGAAAATAAAGATTTAGTTCAATTTCATTGACTTGTTATGCCATCTATTGACATTCCTGTTACCTATCTATATTTTTCAGTCGATAATAAAATTTTATATTAAAAATTACTAATAAAAATTCATTTACAAGTCTAATAGAAGCTTTTTTTTTTATAAAATATTTTTTTTTTAAATATTTATGTATTAAAAATAAAATTACATTTATTCTATTTTAATTAGTCTATGTATGTAAAATATAACTAGCTTAAAAAAACATATAAATAAATATGTATATTATTTACTTTACATATGTAATTACTATGTGGAACACATTATTTATTTTATAAATTATCTTTTTTTCTCGAGTTAAATTTAAAAATTAAAAATATTTTTTAAAATATATATAAATTTATTTCAATTGAAATACTATAATTTTAAATTATTTTTGGATGAATGATCTGCGTACATTAGAAAGAAGAACCATCACAGAATCCTAATAACTACATATTATCACCAATGAACGTAAAACGTGACCATAATTTATCAGATTTTACACGATTCAGCTCGTTTTAGCTCATGGTTGCAATTTCAGAGTTAACTGCTTATCAAGTTACAGGACATCATTCTAATGATATGGAGTACCTATGGAGTACTACCCTCTTCATTGATTTTACACAATAACCTCGTTCACGATATCTTCTATCATGCAATCGAACATTTAATAATATCTATGATTAAAACTTTAAGAAACTTGTTCGCCTTTTTTTGATTGTATTCTATTTGCGCAATCAAAATGTTGTAATTATTATTTACGTAAAAAAAAAAAGTTGATAAAATCAACCATTTATATCTTTCACTTTTAAATTTCTAGGCACTAGGTAATATCACGTCATTTATTAAAACTGAGGTTAATTTATACAAAATAGCAATAAATTAAAAAAAATATTGCATAATTGAAATGCATATATTGCATAATTGAAATGCATAATTGAAATGCATATATTGCATAAAAAATTTTTTATGAAATTTTAAATAAATAAAATATTTTTTTCTTTTTCCTCATATATTATCTTTCTACTAAATTTTAAAATATATGTATTTTATCTAATCAAATATTTAAAAACCATTTTTATTAAAATATCCATTATGAAATGGCTTTTGTGAGATAAGTTGTTTGAAGACATTGAAGATATGGTAAATGATAGATTTAATAATTATCTTACAGCATGTAAGATTCCATTGTAATGGAGAGTATTTATGATTACAAATGTGATATATTGAAAGTTTATTAGATCTATTCATCAATCTTATAAATACTACACTTGATCATATTTAAAAATCTAATGATGCTTTCAAGTGATGACCTACATATTAAATTGTAAGACATCTCTAAGAAGATAATATCTAGGATCAAATTTCAATTTAGAAAAGACGTCTAATAGTACAAACAAATAAGTAGTTCTTACCACAAATAATATGAAAATATTTTATTTTCCTCAATCTTACTGAGCTATCGATATAATTTTTTTTTTTTTAATATATCATTATTTATGTCAGGAGAATTTTATATCATTATTTATGTCAATTTAATAATATTTAATAATATTTATCACTTAATAATATCTAAATTTAGTAAAAACCACGTACGATCATTCATTTAAATATATATTTTTGATAAATAGCATGTTTAAATACATAGATATATCTTTTTTATTTAGAATATAATTATGGGACGAAATGCATAAAATGTAATATCTAAATGCACAAAATATAATCTTATTTTTACGTAATAATGCAACTGAAAACTATCCCTATAATACATTGTAACGGTGAAAGTTACACAGTGAAATTTGAGAAGTATGGAAAATACGATCTAACATCTCTTATTGATTGTCAGTTATCGTATCAATTTAATCAAGAGAAAAAAAATCATTATGATAACATGTGAAAGAAGCGCATCCGCTTTCGATGCATCTATAAACAATTAACTACAAATACCATGAAGAGCAATATTAACGCGATATTTTATGAACCTAAATAGAAAAGATGTTACAAATTGTAATACAAAACTATAACCAAAAAAATATATCTATAAAAATTATTAATTATTTATAATATATATAATAATGTTAGATCTTAATAAATTAACTAACGATGCATTATGCAAATTCTAATCCAATTTAATTGATACTACATCATATGTGAAGAAATTCTTATTAAGTAAATAATAATAATAGATTGTTTAGGTCGGTCTCAACAAATTGATTATTTTTAATTTTTCAAACCCTAAGATATTCAAAAAATCTAGATGATTCTTATCTTCTTCTCATTTTTAGAAGTTAAGAAGTTATTTTCTCTGTATGTAAAGCTAAAAAAAATATATTTACAACCTTATATATCACATCTATGTATATTGAGAAAGAAAAATAATCGTCGTAATAATCTCTCTATTTAAAAATTTGCCTGTAAAAAAATATTGTTTCTATATTTGATGAAACGATTGCTTCAATTTCAATTGATAAAATCAGCAAGAACATACATTATTATTTTTTTTTTGTACGAATAACTATTGATTTTATTATATCTATTATTAATCTTTACAATTCATACATTTTTTCCAACTGAGTTAACGGCAATATTAATATTATCATAACGATAAATTCACGGTGAAAAATTTTCATGACAAGGTAGTAACAGTAAACAAGTTAGAAAGGCGCATAGACACACATACATGCACATAATCTAACTTCACCGGGATGCGATACCGCAAGGAAAAGATTCCGGTGGTATAAAAGGGGATGTGTTCTGTGCAGACTGCATTAGTTTCAATTGCGAACAACCCATCGTTACGATACAATAATATAACAAGCAACATGAAATTCTTCGTAAGTAATGCTTCTATTATTTGCTTCTAATTATATTATGTTTATGTTTCATTTTAAATGATGGATATAGACTGATACAGTGTAATTAATTAAAAATTTATTTTTTTTCTATAATTTATTTAATTTCCCCCTATATATTTAATTTTCCCCTATATTTTACTCTAAATATTAATTGAAATATATATCTTTAATTTGTTTCATTTTACATTCTACATCGTTGTTTAATATAATTCAATTATTTTATTTTTTATAGATGGACCGAATTTATAAAATTATTATAAAGAATTATAAAGAATTTTTATAAAAAAACCATTATAAGATTTGAAGACCTTAATTTTTTTTAAAAATATATATAATATCCGTAAAAGATTCTCTAATTCTTTTTTTTTAATTTTTGTAATTATATATTTATATATAATTATAATATTATATATATATTATGAATATATAAAATGCATTTTTCTCTGAACTTAAAACTTTTATTTTGATTTTAACATCAAAAAACATAGCATAATTATTTTATTTTATTTTATAAAATATAGCTATAAATTGGTTGCAGATAATTCTTGCTATCATTGCCCTGGTATCTCCCTTGTATGCCCAATCTGAAGAAAAAATAATTGAGAAAAGAGGTTTATATGGTGGCATTGGTTTGGGTTATGCAAGTCATGGAGGAGGTAATTAGTTGAAAAATTTATATCTATTTTCGCATATTTTAATTTTTATAATTCTAATTTCCATTTTTAAAATAATAGAATTTATTTAATTATTGTAAAGTTATCAATTTTTACAATATGTAAATATATATTTGATTAAAATTTAAAATAAAACTAGAAATGCGAAAGGAATCAAGAAATATAGGTAATATTTTATTTTAAAGTCTAAATATTAGAACGGAAAAATAATTAAACAGGAACATTATGTTAACATGATTCATGTTAATTTTATTTTTTTGTTAATTATAGGTTTTGCGTATAGCGCACCAATAATTACCAAATCTATTCATATCCCTACTGTTCGACTTGGATATGGTGGATATGGTGGATATGGTGCATATGGTGGATATGGACACTCTGGAGGATATAGATGGTGAAAAATTTAAATTGTTCTAAATTTTGTCCATTGGTACTATACCTTTGTAATATATTATTATAATATTACATTATTGTAATTGTAAAACTATTGTAACATTGAAAAAAGTTTTTAATATGCAAAATAAATTCAATACTTTTTAATAAGTGTTACTATTGGTTTCCTTTTCTGCTATATGCATATATAATAATCTTAATTAATTAAGAATAAAGTTAATCTTAATTAATTAAAAATAAATTTAAATATGTAAAAAAATATTTTTTAATCTAGTGAAACTAATTTAAAAGTCTCTGAAGTTCTAATGTACATAGAAAATGGAATATTTTTATTAATTTTTTTAATAAATAATTAATACCTTTTAATGGTTTGTGTCCGATATAAAGATAATGCAGAAATGAACTTTATCCACTATATTATAAATACATATGACTACGAAGTTCTACATTTCGCCGCTAGAGTCGTAAAAATGTCTAGTTGCATTCACTAAATTTGTTTACTTATTAAAAAAAAATTAAATCAAATCATGAATTTCTTGGCTAGAAGTGTAGCGAATGCAGCTAGATCTTGGCTTGCAAATTCAGTTGAAGGTAAAATTAATTATTGTGTTAATGAAGTGAAATAAAATGAAATTATTACGTATATTGTTAACCTAACCTATAATTTAATCTTTAAGTACAAAATATCGTCTTTTTTTTTATTTATAAACAATAATTTACATTTTTTATAATTACAATCCTATACATATTTGATAAAGATTGTTTTATAATAAATAATTTTTGTTGTCACTGATAAATCATTAAATTATTGTAATATTGTGTATTAAAATTTCGATTCTTATTTGAATTATTTAATAAATAATTATAACTAATTGTAAATATATCTAATAAAAGATATTATTTTACAGCAAGCAAATCACAACTAACTAGATTATGTGCAAATCCTGGAATTCAAGGTATTTATTTTTTTAACAAATAACAAAATTTGAGATATTATTATTAAATTTATTTGAAAAATTACTATTTTCATGTTTTTACAGGAACTGTACTTAACACTACTAATTCCTATATTAGAAATTTGATGCAAGGTAAGATATATATCTTAATATCGATATTGTACCAATATCTTACCTATAAGTTAAAAACAAAATGAAATGTATCTATACCACATCATACACAAAAGTAGGAAATATAATTATAATTTCAATATAAAAAATATTAGAAATTAAAATATTAATTGTAATATTATAAAAGATTTTTCCAAATCTTAAAAAACAATCACTAAGTATATTGAAAATAATCAATATATTCAGAATGTTTTCCAAAAGAAAAAAGCTAGGACTGCCTCGACAAACGAGAACCATCAGTGACCCATTTACGTGAAATCGCGCGAACCTTGATGGTCATTGTTTGCGTTTCCCATAAGTGTAACAAGACCAGACAATTCCATAGGAATTCGAGTGACGTCTCGAGTTTCCATAAGCCTTTTTCGACAGATCAGTATCTCTCGTTTCTCAACAGAGTAAAAAGGGGTGGTCGTTCTAAAAGGGGACCACGATTTTCTTCCTGCATTATTCGTTCGCGAAAATGCACATCGCTTGCAAAAGCGCATGCAGCGCTTTACCTCTTTGATCCCTAAAAATAGAAAAAAGGAAAGAGAGAAAGAGAGAATGGAGGAGATCTCAAAAATGCAAAAAAGGATCTCCGGCTACTTCGCAAGAAAGGACACGAATGGGGGAGAAAGCAGGCTTTTCCTCGAGCAACAGCGAAAATCGTTGGGAATCGAAGGGGGTGACGTGTCCATTTGTGGTTGACCAGTTGTCAGAAGTGATTCTGTGAAGGGTGCAGTCTGCAGTAAGACTGTTATCCGAATTTTCTCAGTTTTCATGATCCCACAATGGACCATTCGTGGGACCAATTTCATTCTCGATCATCAGGAATGATAATATTATTATTGCATTTGTTTTTTTTTTTCTTTCATTCGAATGAAGTTCTATGTAAATTTTTTGTTCAACTTGTATTTCAGAGAGTAAGTGTAACTTTTTTATTCACTTTATTAACACTATGTGTGTATAATTTGTGTGTGTTAACACTATATAAACGATCTATATTTAAAATTTCATGAATTATTTTAAAAAAAATTTTTTAAAGTTCAGATATATTTATAATTGATATAATAATTACGAGTAAATTTTTAATTTAAAAAGTTTCACAATAAATAATAAAAAATGTAAAAAATAAAATAAAAAAAAGACAAGTTTAGATTAGCTTAAGTCTCTCTTTCTTTTCTTTTTTCTAATATAAGGAAAATCTTCTTTGTTTGTCTATATATCACATTTTACGCAATCGAGTATAAATACTATAAAAATCCACTGTAAATCTTACAAGTTATCCATTCAAAATATTTCCAGATTACCAGCAATGTTTATTCTTCAAGTGAGACCTGTTAATCAGCTCCTAATTACGTCAAATTTTCGTTCTATTCATAGAATAATCGCAACTTAAGATAAGCCACGGATTTATCCTGAGCCAGTGTCATGGCTGCACGTCTACGCTGTAAAGGCGTAACCGGCACGTCGAAAATTTTCGCAATGTAATCTTGCGTATTGATCTTCGAAAAAAAGGGGTTGCCTTCCATGCATAATAGGTTCTGCTGGTCTCTGCCTTAGTTAAGTCCGAGTTAGGTAGGATTAGCAGCGACAGGCTTGGACATCTGTTATATTGACGAGCAGTGGTCAGCTAGATCTCGAAATGAACAACAATGGCCACAGTCTCGACTAACAAACCTTAGACTCCTATGATCCACCAGGGGAATATCGAAATTGTCATGTCATCCTCAACATTTCATTTAAACTATGAATCTCGTCGAATACATCGTTATGGATCGCGATCCTCTTTCATACAATCCATTCTTTATGGTGATTTTAGAAGATTTAAAGCATGTGGTTATTGGTAAGATTTAAAGCATATGTTGATTGGAAAATTTTAATACAATTTTTGAAAGTTAACTTTCGTATACTTTCAAAAAATCGATCTCTTATTATTTTTTCCCCCATATTAGTTAATCTTAATCTCAAAATAATTAAACAAATGCAATGAAAAGATGTTTGTTTACTATGTTTTGCAAATTTTTGCAAATATAAATTTATATTATAAATTATATAAATTTCATTGTTCACTTTCAAGTCACACGATCTCATGGATCGTGAATTTTTTGTGCAAAGATGGGTGGACCTTAGTTCGTAACAATGTTTCTAAATAAGCTTATACACGCTCGAACGAAAAAGGACTAGACGAGCGGTTCGCAGATGTCAAATGGCCATCATATTTGATATTCCAAAAACCCTCTTTTCCTTCAGCTCGTAAGATTATTTGCGAAAGAGTTTTCAGTTTCTTGGTACCGTTACTACGTTGTAGGTTTTCTATTTTTCTTGATTTTATTTATAATGGCTATCATCCTTGGGAACTATTTTCTTATCGAACTTCTGTCATGTCCTGCAATCTTTTTTTCTCACGCTATTCACGCAATTTTCCTGAAAAGAATTCTATCGAAATCTGTTTTGAAGAATTCCTTCGGAAGAAGCAATGCAACAATTTTTGGGGAATTATTTCTGAAGAAATTTTATTTTAAATTTTGAATGTATTATTCTTGAATTATTTTTCTAAATTTTATTTATAATTATTTCTAAATTATGTCAAAATTTTTAGAAATTTATTCTTTAAGAAGAAACAGCACGAAGATTTATTCTTTTATGTTTTTTTGTTGATTGCATTGTAAATTTAATAGAATTGTTTCTCATTTTAATTTCATATATGCCAATGTCTCTTACTCAATGTCTTTTAATTTATCGAAATCGAATTAGTTAAAAAATCATATCTTAGGGCGATATTTCACTGAAAAGCAATTAAATCGGATCGTCGTTAGATAATCAAAGAATTTCCATTCAATAGATTATTATTTCTCTTCTATTTCTCTTCTACGGGCATATACGATTAAAAAATGAAAGTATCGTGATTTTAATTAGCGCTAAAACTGTTTCTCTTATTTTCTCTCTTCTTATTCTCTTTAAACATTCTTGAAGATCAAACGTGTTTCTTCCTGTGTTTAGTTTAAAACTAATGATTCTTCTTCATTTGGTAACTAGACTCTTCTTCATTTGGTTCTTGTCTTTAGTATGTTTTGTCTTTGATAAAGGAACGTAAAGTCCAACAAAAAAGTAAAGTAATTTGAAGAATAGGAAAAAAAAATGTATTTGAGATAAATAAATAAGGTGAAAAGGTTTTTGAAAAATTATTCCATTTCTAAAAATTAAGATTTTTAGAAAATTATATCGAAACAAAAAAAAGAAAAACTCGTTTCTTTCTTATAACTTATTTCAAAGAAATTTTCTAAATTATTTTCGCGAATAATAATATAATTAAATAATATAATTATTACTTTATTATTTTATCATATATATTTATTTAAATCAGGCTTTATGCAAATAAGATTAGGAACAACGTTGAAGAGATTGCATGAGAAAGGATCATATAAAAAATATAAGAAGAAGAAAAATCCCTTGGATGGGAACCCTTTTAAAAAAGGCGTGGTGATAAAAACATTAATCAGAAAACCAAAGAAACCGAATTCTGCGAATAGAAAATGCGTCCTTGTTCGCCTATCAACCGGCAAAGAAATGGTTGCTTTTATCCCAAGTGAGTATAATTTATAATGAATATTTTAATAAAAACAAAATGCACAAAGAAGAAAAAAAAATATTTAACATATCTAATATAATAAAATTATTAATCATATTCTAGAGGAAGGTCACAATCTTCAAGAGCATAATATTGTGCTATGTAAACCGGGAAGAGTGAAAGATACTCCTGGTGTTAAGATCAGATGTGTTCGTGGGAAATACGATCTACCCCACGTAATTAAGAAAATTATTTAATTATAGAATTTATATCGAATCTTTTAAAGTTTATATAATTAAATATTATTATATAAAGTTTCTCTCTTTAAATGTTATTATATTGTAACCTCTGAAGTGATCTAAGGAGGATGTTATTAAAATAATTAACTCAATTCATAATTTTAATATCAATAAATATTTTAAGTGAGATACCTAATCAGAATCATTTTGTAAATAATAATTTTAGCAAAAATTGATTCAAATGATATTATTCTACAATATCACATTAATTTTATTCTTTTTATTACGATGAATTTTATATTCTTACTTCATTTAAAAAATTAAAGATGACACTTTAATTCACACAAATTCCGAAATGCGATAAATACAAAATTTATTCGAATCAATTTTCATTAAAATTATTACTTAGAATCAAATGCTTTATTTTAACCCGAGATATTTAAGAAATCTTTCAGGATACCATCATGAATTCGATCAACGACCAATGCAAGGGGTTCCTCCTCGAGGTCACGCTTTTCGGATTTAGCGGCCCACAAATTGCGGCCTTTTGACACACATTTTCGAAACGCTATTTCCCCACCGTGCGTTTACCGTTAGCTAGGCTATGCGTCCTCCTCCGAGACGAGCAAACGTGGACACAATGTGTATTCTACTATATCAGGATGTCACAATGTAGAAAGGGGGTTGTGCAGCCCCTTCTTTCGACGTTATTACGGAAGGGTTGGCCTGCTCCTGCATCTGCACCCTGTATCCACCCACGCGGCCACTGGCTATTGGCCATATGACATGCTGACCAACATCCCGATGTTTTCAAAAGACCGACTCTCAACCTTGCCTCGCTTGGACCAATCTCTAAGAAAATATATTCTTCTGTTCACCTTGTCGATGCGTCCAAGTGGTGGGCGTTGCGCGGTTATGAATGTAAGTATTTGACAATACTATTGAATATAAATTTGAGTTATTTTTTGGAAAATAGAATTGTACTGAGAAAAGAATATGAAGAAAATAGAAGGACGAACGAAATGAGAACCTGAAGAACAGTCAACTCTTGCGGGGAATGACGCGGAATGTTATCAGACTTGCGCAGAATCTACGGGACCTAGATTCATTAAGTTCCCATATCGTAGGATCCGTGATGAAAGTGTAATCACACGAAAATTTTAGAGATAGGTTATTGTATTCTTTAATATAATTTTTAGAATTTTTGTCAAAATAAACAAAGAAAGAAACAAATCTATTAGACAAGGTTTATAAAACAATCACGCCAAATTGAGCATTATAAATTTGAAAAATTATTTTTTAAATATTTAATTGGAAATTAATAGTTTAAAAAATTATTATTTTCAATTCGGTAGCATTATGATTTATTATATGATAAAAATAAATCAAAAATATAGTAATCGGTACAAATATCCTATTTGAAGAAATTTTCGAAGTCATCAAAATTAACGGAGAAAATTTGGAAGCTATCGTAAAAAGAAGAAAAAAATCGAAAAAGCAAAAAAAAATTTGTATACCAGGAAAGACCAAGGGTAAGAAAAAATTTTTTTTTTTTTGCAACTAATATATACCATTTCCAAAGTCAGACGAAGTTAATCCGTTGCGCCATAATGGAGTTTAAATCTTCCCTACTCTCTCTCTTACTTCACCCATTATAAAGCATCCCTGACAAAATGTACGTAATAAAACCAAGTGACAGTATTTTTATTAGTTATGAAAAGTACACAGAAAATTCAGCAATAGTTATTGCATTATGCGTATGTACCTGGCATAAGTAAGGGAAAAATAAGAGAGAAAACCATTACTATTTATGACTGTCCTGCCCTTTATTTAATACCGTTGTATTTGCAACCGAAATGAAAGTACCGGTTGCTTTATTACGGTCTTCCGCAATAATCATGTCTTCTTTCTTTCTATCGCATTGCATTGCATCCTGGTAAGTTTTATTCATCATTCGCAATTTTTTTTTTATAAAAATTATCAGTATATTTATATATTTTTGTATATTTAATTGATTAAGTATAGGAATGATAACGTAAAAAAATTATAAAAGTAAAAAAAAAAAAAAAAAGATTAAAAAAAGGAGCTGACCTTGGTGCAGGTATGAAAATATTTTTTGTTTCTGAAATGGCGAAGAAAAAAATAAAAAAAAATAATCGAAAGTGAAATATGGAGAGAAAAGAAAGTAGTTGAAAATCGTCGACAAAATAAAAATGAACAAAATGGAAAAATCTTTTTGCATTTCAAAAAAAATTTCTCGAAAAATGATATGCAAATGCTTTTGGTGTTCACTTTCTTTGAGAAAGAAATTTTCAACTCTTTACCGTAGGGCTTAGTAATCGGACACCAAACAATCTGTTCTCAAAAGTTTTTGTGCTTTTGCCATTATGGTTCGTTTATTTTCAATTTTCACATGGCTTCAGTGCTTTGGAAAAATCTTATGATCGATGAATATTTAGATTTTTATATATATTCTAATAATAATATATATATATATATATATAAAATTAATAGTTCTTCTCTAAGTTAGATTTTTCCAATCCTTATTTCACTATTTTATATATTTTTTTTATTTTAAAATTCTATCAGAAAATTATTACAATCAAAAATAGAAGAAATTGAAAGAATTTATAAATTTCTTATTTTAATCGTACTTTCGAAAAGTAAAATTGATGTAAAATTTGGAAGGAATTAGAAGAGGGGGATTAGATTTTAAATCTAAAATTTTAGCTTTGGATATTTATTAGTATTTTTCCAAAATGTAAATTAAAATTTTCGATAAATAAATATAGTCCACATCGTTATTAATGCAAAATTTGTCTTCATATTACGCGTCATCAAGTAGAATAAAATAATTAATAATATAATAGAATACCGGTACCAGTTTAAATACAGTTTGTGTTTTAAATACTGTTTTAAATCCATTGTTACAACTTTGGTAGCCCAAAGAATATTTTATTGAAAATTCGGTATAAGAATTTCTAGTAATACATATTTACAGGTATATGCACTTTCTATAAATAACATATTTATTACAATACATCAATAAAACTAACTTTAAAATAAATCATTAAATAATATTTTCAAAATTAAGGTATTTAAAATACTGTACTTCTTTATTATGCAGCAAGTATTTAAAACTATAACTGTATTGTTGAATAAAGATAGAAAAATATGGTAACTGGTAAGTTTGGGTTATATATTTTCCTTACCACAAACAAACAACCAGTTAGAACAATTATTAGTCAATATTTTATGCTTATTAATGGTAGGACCATTAGTATTATAACCACATCAGCTACTTGACACTCAAAGAGCACGATTATTACTACAAAGACAATTATGTTTCTATATAAATATATTTTTTAATTTTCATTCTTTACTTTTAATAATAAAGTTTATTACTTTATCATTATTTATATTAAATAAAAAAAATAGCGCAATTTGGATAACATTTCAAAAATCTATTTTAATTCAAATTAGAAATTATTTATTATTTCCAATATCTTTTATTACCTAAACCTTTTATTACTTACTTATCTTTTATTACCTATTTATTCCCACGAAAAGTTTTCACGAAAAGTTTTCCCCAAAAGTTTTCTTTCGTTAACAAGTTACTTTTCCAGAAATTTCCTCAAATCCCTGCAATCTTTGTCGCAAATAAGACGTATCGGTAGATGTTTATACCATAAAGTATTCACTTAAAACCATCTTAGAAAAAAAAACTATTCAAGGAATAAAATTCTTTTTCGAAAAATCTGTCCAAAGACGTGTCATCGCGATATAATGAATGAAATAAGAAAATTCCTGTGGAAAGAAAAAGTTCCTGCGGGAAAGGCATGCATGAAGACCGGAAATAAGCAAATCTCGAAAATCTGTTGGCAAAACTTGGCCGGTGGTCTCGTCGCAAGATAAATTGAAAAATAATTACGTCTTAATGCTTCTCTAGCTATTATGTTCTATCTCTCTTTTTTTTTTTTTTTTTNNTTTTTTTTTTTTTTTTTTGAAAAAGCCTTAGTATTGAATTCTATTAAAAGGACTAATGTCTGTTCGAAAACGAAGTCATATCCTGAGATCTCCTACTGAGGGAAATAGTAAATTTCTTTCTTTTCAAAATTCTTTATAATATTATTAATATTATAATATTAAAATATTATAATATATATTATAATATAAATAATATTAAAATTAAAATTTATTTTCTGTATGAAAATTGGAAAAATGAAGAAAAAAATTATTTTACAGTATATTATTTTTTTTATAAAAATATAGGGAATCATATAAAATTGTTTTCTAAAATTGTTGCAAATATTGCCTTATATTTTTTTTAAATTAAATAAATTAACTTGTGATAACTGGAAATTTATCATTTTGAATAATTATAAAGACAATATATTGGATAATAATCTATATAGGCAATTTGCAACAATAATAAAGTTCATTACTATTTTTATAGAATAGAATTATTAATTTTTTTATTAATTATTTAAAAATTAATAAATTTAATTGTCGATCATTTCACGAGAGGAATTTAATTAAACTAATATAAATGAATTTGCTATAATGAATGTACCAAGTTTCGTCTTTGTATAAAATTGCATTGAAACCGAGGATTACAAATTTAACGATCGGTATATCCAAAATATGAAATGATTATATAAAATTTTATTGTAGATTAGACAAACAGTTACACCTTTTACCTACCTAATTTTGTAAATATTCCTGCATAATACAATACATTCTATGTTTTCAACACCGCACAATACATTGGTATGTTATGACTATACCTATTTCAAAATATTGAAATTTTACCATAAGGTTTAAATAAAAATAAATTATTTTTATGTGTATTGAAATGGCTTTTATTATAGTTAAATTTTTCTTTTGCTTAAATAAAAATATTTTTTTTTTCTATTTGAATTAAAGAACAAAATGGAAAAAAACAATTGAAAAATTTAATTTATTTAAATTATAAGCAATTTAAGCTTGCTTTAGATGAAGATAAAAATAAAGGAAGACGATAGTATGATGTAGAGATCGCTATCATCAATATTCGAAAGTTTCAAAATCATTTAATATCTGAATTAATCCCTGATAACAGAAGATAGATGGAAACATTGCGTCAAGTCAATTCCACGAAGTATTATCGTTACAAAATATTATGGTTTTTGAATACTCAAGAAATCTAAAAAAAGTCACAACGATATGTTTGTAAATTATACCTTTTCAAATGTCTTCTACATATTAGTCATAGCCGTTTAACAATCACGTAAATCATAAATTCATTCGATTTAAAGTAACATAAATCAAAATCTATAAATCTTAGAGATCTAATATATCGTTATAATTATATCTATTTAAAATAAAAATTACAAAATTTTTAAAAAGTTTGTTCTTTGAATGTTATTACGATATTTATAACTAACTATTTATAGAAAGTTTACATTCTGCTATGTATATAGACACGTAATACCAAAATAGACAAATTAATGACAAATTAATGATTTCTTATGAAACCAATACATTATGAATTTAAATGATGTATTAAAAAACCTGATAAGATTAAAACAGGATTTGAGAAATTAAATATTTTGAAGATAAACAAACTTTTTGAAATAATAGAACAACTAAAAATGCAATTTAATATAATAAATAATTTAATATAATAAATATCATAAAATGAAGAATCTATACAACTGAACGATCCAACACAAAAATTTGTATCCCATTTCACACTTCGTTCGATTCTCTTTACACGAAAACTGATTACTCACAGCGGAGCAATTTAAAAAATGTCAACGATATCGATGAATTAAGACATTTTCCACGTCGAATCGTCGCGAAGATTCGCATGGACGTACCGTTATATGGTTTGTATATGTTTCAGTGCGGTAGGAGCAGATGCAAATACGTGAATCTATTCATCTGTCGTCAGATGACGACCACGGGAAAAATCGCAAATAACGGGTTGGCCCTGCACCATAGAAATGTGGGTTATGTGGCTAAAGGAGCAAAAATTTGTATACTAGAAAGAAGGCGGTGCGGTTGAATTGAGCGCCGGGATGCTTTTCTATAGGTGACACGGCATTTTAACGGGGCATCGAAAAGAACTAAATTTGGCGTGATCTTGGGACGAAGACATAATGAGTACGCTATATCGAGCATAACTGGACTCCATCGTCGTTCGTCATTTTTTCCCTATTTTTCTCACAGAATTTCTCGAGAGAATTCTCAGGACCAAAAGGACTGGTTGAATCGGTGAATCAAATGGAATCAGTATTACAAGTAGTAAAATTTTGAAATAAACTTTTGAACAAAATTTGTAAAATTAAAAATGCAAGAAGGATAAGAAAAATTCGGAAATCAGTGTGAAAGGAGTGTCATACCGTCTGGGACGAAACTGCTGGACCAATGATAAACTAATGAATTTAGTCACTCCATGAAAATGAATCATTAGTCAACACTGAGTGGAAGAAAACAGCGGGTGTATCTTCCGGTGTTGAGCAATGAAAACTGCCACATGCTGTCCTAACGAGCGCGAACGAAAGAAAGGAATTCATCAAAAAGAGATCATACATCAAATGATCAACGTCAAAGTTCAAAAGTTACAAACAACTTTCCCTTTGCCCTAAAAATTTTGCAAATTTCACTTGGCCGCAACGCTTTCGCCGGTTAATTTATGAGGAAATTTCGCGATTTTCTTGTATAGTTTGCCATCGTAAATCATTGCGACACAGAACCCTTTAACTTTGTGAAAAATTACTTTGTGAAAATAAGAATTGTATGAAAAGGTTATGCAGAGTAATTTTATGCACTATGTCTATACTGTTAATATTATATCTCAGTAGGAGGTCGCAAAACGCACAATTCTTTGACAGAGCAATTGCCACTGGCTTTAGATAGGGTTTAAGAAAAAGGATTTTAGTATGCCAACCGGTAACTGGATTTTTCGACAATCCTGAAACAAATAATAAGTACGATTGCAAGGATTAATTTAGCGGGATTCGATTGTTATACGAGATCAAGAAAATGCTGCAATTTGTTTCGCCTCAGGATGCCACGACAGGTAGTACAGTGGCAAGATCATCATTGGCTACGTAATATTTTTATCTTTTAAATATTTTAAATCGCATACCGGTTGGCATATTAAAATGATAAATAAAATGTTTAAATTAAAGAAAAATCTACCTAAGAAGGAAAATTTAATTATTTTTTGAATTTTAAAATTCAATCCTTTTGTTTTCTTTATTGGTTTTTAATGAATAAAATATCAATTTTTTTGTGATATGTGTATTTTAAGTGAGTGAAATATAAATTACAACAATTAATCAAAATTATTAAACTTAATTTTTATTTTAAAATTACTATATATGTATATACATATGTATTAAATTCTACTACCTTTATCAAACAACCTTCACAGATACGATTTCTGACGAAATTGTTATTCCAATTGCGCGATCATAAATACTCAATACTACTAATTTTCCCGCGTTCATGATTGCGTCTGTGTACAATCACGTGAGCGTGTTGCCCTATAAACATTTTGGGAATAGGAAGTGGTAAACGCGTGCCAGTTCGACCCCCACAGTCATCAGGATCGGCCTCTCCCCACCATTTTCTAAGGAAGTCTCCTCCCTTTGGACCTTACAAGGGTTGTCCACTACTATATAAGCGAAAGTACACCCTCTCTCGTTTTAAACGATTTTGACGGTTCATACTACAAAGATATTTTCGAAAAACCGATTGTATATGTTCGTTAAAAACCGATTTTCTTTCAAACAGTTATCTTTCGAAAATCTTCCTAAAAACGCTTCCAAACTAGAGACAGTGTGTTGTGATATCAGTGACCAGTGTATAACCTTGGATTAATCATTAGGTAAGAGACATTAGTCGTTTACCACGATAGTTACTCGATAAACATAAAAGAATTTCAAACTTGCGTAATTAATGGACGCTAATGTCTATTCGATTACCTACAGTAAAACGATTTCTGTGTAATTTTCATTAAATGATACGACATCAAACACGGTAGAACTCAGTGTTATTTGTTTAATAACTAATTGTAAGTTGTTTTAATTAATGTAATAAGTTTTTTTCAAGAATATGTAAATTCATTTATCGTTGGTTACGTTCTCTTTTCGTTGACAATTTTAATCGTTATTATATATATGCATGAATTTTTATTTATTTTTATTTTAATTTATCACGATCGATATGAATAGTAATATATATAATTAATATCTCGGAGATTAAACGAATTTAAAAATATTTGTACCGTTTTATTTTGAAAATGATTTGATTAAAATAATATTTTAATTTATTTATATTTTTCTGTCTTAGATATTGGAAAATGGAATCTTTCTCCATGCCGTCAATGAACAACATAAAAACGGAATTTAATTCTCAAGAATTGAATACTGAAGCATTTTTCGCCGATGCAATTCTGGATCTTTCTTTCAAGAAACGAAGAACTTCGACTTCCAGCCAACCAAATTCATTAGATTCATATTTAAATTCATCCGCGAGTAGTACGAAACATGATCAAACTAATCATGTTTCAGAATCCGAAACCGAAAGAAATAGTCCTTTTGAAGTTCGAACATTCATGATAACACCACCTTCAGAATCTAATTCTCCGATAAAAATCAAATATGAACCATTTTACGATCATACAGATATGTCAGAGAATAATATCAAAAGTCAACACAGTGATTTCTCCAATTTGCCAATGAATATTCCAATTCCAACTATGTTATCGACATTTCTTAATCAAAACAGTGGCACAGTTAAATCGACAGACATAATTAATATTCCTGCTTCATCGTTAACAACTTCGATGACTTGTTCCAATGAAATTGGATTATCCAATACATCTACAGATAAAGAAAGCAAAAAAGCAGCAAGACCATTTAAAGCTTATCCAAAAGATCCGTTGTCACTCACTGTAGGAGCAGTGGAAATGATATATGATCAAAATTCTAATGAGGCTTATTCCGAATTTCGGAAACGAATGTTAGAATCGGTTAAAAAATCAAACGAAGGAACTAATGTGAAAATGCGAAGAGTTACAAAAAGTCCTGGATTACCAACGAGTACGGTTGATGAAAAAGATGCAGCTTACTGGGAAAGAAGAAGAAGAAATAACGAGGCAGCGAAACGCTCCAGGGACGCTCGAAGAGCAAAAGAAGACGAAATTGCTATCAGAGCAGCTTTCTTAGAACAAGAAAATATTAAACTTAAATATGAACTTGTTGCTCTTAGGAACGAAACAGCTAAACTTAGATGTATGGTTTATTCAACGTAAGTTTAAGATATACTTTATATAAATTTAATTATATAGTTAATTAATATTTTATTAGTATTTAAGACTTAAGTTCTTCTATGCTAATTTTGAAAATTGACTTTTTTTAAAAGTACAAAATTTGTATTATATAATATGTTATTATTTTTTGTAATTTTTTGGTTTTTTCAAAATATTAATACCAAATGTATATTATACATATACATATATGTATATATATAAATGTAAAAATGTTTTCCTAATTTACTATTAAGATTTAATATACTATTAAGATTTAAAAGCTTTGAATTTTTGTGCCATTCAATTCTATTATTATTATTATTCTATACAATTATTATTATTGTTTATAAAGTAACAAACATTATTGTATTTGACAATTATAAATTATTAAGCATTAATAATTAGTAGTACTTAAAATTTAAAAACTTTAAATAAATTTTATACGTACTCTATAAAAATGTTCAATATATTAGAAACAACTCAGGACTAAATTTAAAATTAATGTACATAATCCTATATTGTAATATAGTCATAAATATGTAAATAAATGATAAAATAGAAATTATTTGTAAGTTTGATTGTACATACAAAGATTGTTGTGATATTAAAAATTTATAATAAAAAAATATTAAAAAAATATTAATTATTATAAAATATTTATGTATATATATATATATATATACACTAATATACTCATGAAGCTGGTAATGAATTAGCCAAATCTAACATGTTAGCTGTTTCTAATACATTTTTCTCATTAGTTTGATTTTTAGTAAGTGCTTTTGTATATGATTTTTGAACTTGTCTAGGAATAAAATGTAATGAGTTTGCCCCTGTAATAATATTTGAAGAATTTAATGAACTAGTATTAGAATTTGTTGATGATATATTTTTTGCTGCAGCTGCAAACATTTTAGTCTTTTGATTTTTATTTAATTGTATTTTTTTGGATTTTCGTTCTTTTTTTTCATATTCGGGTTCATCAATATCCATTTTATCTTTTGATTTATCTTTTATACAATGTGAAGTATTATCAAATCTAAAATTCTTAGGAAATTTATGTATATTGATACAATGATCCTTTCTTTCAAGTGCATTATTAAATTTCAAATCACACTCCGAAACATAACATTGATACTGAAAAGATGCAAATATTTATAAATATTTTGATAAAAATAATGTATAATAGCATTTATATTTACCATTGATTTCTTCATGGATAAAACTTGAAAGAAACTATCATGTGTTTCTTGAATATGAATATCTAATAATCTAGGATTTGGTAAAGATTTTTTACATTCTACACAAACGTATCGATGATTGCTATTATAGTGCATTTCAAAATCAATCAATGTATGAAATATAGCTTTACAACCAGTAACGTAACAAGGAAATTCTCTTATTCTGAAATTAATAAATCATTTTATTAGACAATTTTTCTTTTTAATTTTTACATTCTACAATTCTACTTATAAGGTTTCATTTATAAGGTTAGTTTAGGTTATACATATTCTAGGTTAGAAAGAATAATAAATAAATATTTAATGAATTTTTAGTTACACTTCATGACACAATTCCTCATCATCTTCAACAGTAACACCTTTTCGTTGAAATATTTTACAAGCATTATATGAATCCTCAAAAAATGGATCGTTAATAGGTCTTAATCCTACACCTATGTTTCGTAAAAATTCTTCCATTTTTATAAAATAATTGAATTTTATAAAAAATATAATCTGTAATGTTAATGTTATTTCATATTACACATTTCATAAATTATTTTTTATAAATATAAACACATCTCTAACACTAACATCACGATATATCTGCACTCTAGTGGTGAAATATCTAATTATTTTGACAATAATCAATATTCGAATCATGATTATTGTGCAATTACATTTATTCTCGAAAAATTTTTTCAAAGATGTTAATAAAAAAAAATAAGTCTTCAATTTTTAAATGTAATAAAATAATATTTCAAAATATTACAAAATGAACATTAAAGTATTACTTATTTATTTGTCATACATATATATATAATTTTAACTTATTTATATATATTGTATATAAATAAATAAATAATTTCACAGAGGATGATATGGGATGACAAAGAAGCACAAATTCAGAAAAAAAGGAATTGGTAAGTAAGATATATATCTTTGAATTTTGCATCTGTTATATAGCAATCCATTCTTTTATTAATAATTTAGAATAAAATATCTACATAATATCCATTAAATAAATTCAATAATTTTAACAAAAATAAGGAAAAAAAATGTATAAGAATACATTGTAATAAATATAATACAATGTAATAATAATAAATATTATTCGACCAATAGACGGGTCTTCAAATTTTCTAAAATTTCTGTCATTTTATTTTCCAAATCTTTACTCCTTTGCATTTCTTCTCGCTTATCCTGTAACATATCATATTATAAAATATTTTCATTATTATCGTATATTGTAGATTATAAATAGAAAAAGCATATTAAAAAAAATATATTAGATTTCATATTAACAAAATTAAAATTTATTTTTATTTTATAACAATGAATTTTTATTTTCATTTTGTCATTAAAATTTAATGTTTAATTTATTCATAATTTTTTATACATTATTTAATTAATTTACACCACTTAAAAAAATCCAATATATTTTTATATTTTTATATTTTTATATTTGTATTTTTAATAAATAATTCAAATATTCAATTAAAATTTCCATGTTTTTGATACTTCATAATTTGATATTTCATTCTTTCTTAATTAATTTTATAATAAAAATGTCATTTTAATTTTTTCATTCAGATTATAAAGTATGAAATATGATTAAATTCACCTAAGTACTTTTTTTCCATAAAGTATTTTAGAAAATGTATGTTAAATATAATTTTATAAAAAAATTTCATAAAATGATATCGAAATCCACTTGAAATAACTATTGATTTTAATTACAAATAAATCATAAATTTAAAAATTATCAAATTATTACAAAATACTAGGATAACTGATATAACTTATCGATTCGCTGGGACCAATTTGTTCTTGATGCATTTTCATAGCAATAGCACCATTCGAATAATTATTCCCTCTGACTTTCACGCTTTTGCTTTCCGGTTCATTGGAAAATTTCGTCAAACTTTCGTCATAATGATACACGTCCTGTTGCGGTATAGTCAAGCCAATTGCTCTTTTATTCTCAATTCTTTTGTTACTTTCAAAAACTTCGGACAATCTATCGTTTTCTCTTCCATGATTAAAATCATGTATATTTTCATTAAAATCAAAGAAACTATAATTCTCTGTAGGATCAAAAATGATTGATGGATCAGATTTTTGTTGAACATTTTGCATTATTTGATTTTTATCATTTATTTTGTTTTTATCCTCTACAACAGGCTCATTTTTTTCAATATTATGTTTCAAAGATTCAAAATTTTTAAAATGCAATGAATTTGGAATTTGCTGGTTCGAAGAATGTTGTACATCGACATTTGGTCGTTCTGTATTTTTATAATTATTATTGGAAATATATTTATAATGTTCATGAAATTGTGGTAATTCTTTTCCATGGTCATTTTGTTCAAATTTCTTTAGTCCTTTTACTTCAATTTTAAAATGTGTACGATTCGATCTCTCAGCATTTATTGGTTTATTCAATCGTTTCTCAGAAACAATTTTATGTTTATGATCATTCTTAAATCTTTGATAATAAATATCTTCGGGAGAATCATAAATTTTTTGAGTTGAATTATTAAAAATTCTGTTTCTTTGTTGTCTTTCTTCCTTCTTTTTACTAAAAGATTCAGGTTTTTGACGAATATTAGGAATTTCTATACTATCATTATTGTTAAATTTTGCTTGAACAACATTGGTATGAATCGTACTATCTAGAACAAAATCGAATGGTGGTGGCCATATTTGTAGATCCTTTTGTTCGCCTTCGTGAAGTTGTCTTGGCTTTTCCGGAAGACCTATTATTGGTTTTAAATTCTCCTTTTTTGATCGCCATGATTCTTTAAATTTTGAAATCTTCTTCGTTATTCCTGTCTCCAATACATTATTATCTTTTTTTAATTTTTCCATCGATGACGATTTCTCTTTCGCTTTTCTTAATTCTTCAGGAGCAGTTAAATACCGAACAGGAACAATTAAAGGCATATATTTACCAAATTCCATTTCTTCGATCGTTCCTCGTTCTTCGAACTGATTTTTGCTATTCGTTTGAACATTAGTAAAATATTTTTTCGATGGTTCAAAATCGTTTTCATCCTTCCTTTTGGTATCCATATCTTCCTCTAAACTATACTCTTCATATTTATTTCTCGCTGGAATATTCTCCTCTTCTCTTTCATCACTTCTGTCTTCATGATTTTCACGCGAATCTTCCTCCTCTTCCGAGATTTTCTCTTTTGAATTTGAAAATGGAGAGTTATAAATATCTCTCAGTGGCTGATTTCCAAAAAAATTCACGAACCCATCTTCAAACAATTCACGATTGTACAAAGGTTCTCCGTAACTATTACGCAAATCTTCAGGTCGTCTTTGCTCATCATCTTCACTTAATGGCAATGGTTCATTGTATTGTATACTAGTATAATTTTCATTTAACTGAGGCATATTTTTTTTATAAACATCATCATTTTTATAATTTTGGTATCCTTCCTCTTCCTCTTCGCTTTCTTCAGGCTTCTTTGTTTTTTGACTCGTGGAATATTCACGAATCTTCTCTTCATTCTTCTCTCTTGATTGATCTTCTTCCTCTTCTGACTCCTTTCCCTTATCAGTTTCTTCCTCTTCCTTTCTACATTCAGAATGTTGTTCTCCTATTTGTTTTCCTCGATCATCATATTCTTTTCTATCCTCTTCATAATTATAATTATCCTCCTTCTGTCGATTTCTATACCATTCCTGTTCCCTCAATTTTTTAGCCTGTTCCTCCTGCTTACGTTCTAATTCCGTTAACCTATCCTCATACTCCTTCTTCCATCGTGGATCTTCCGTCTGAACCACAACAGTAGTCGAAGGAGGATGCGATCGAACATCCATTCCACTTTGAATCGTTTGATTTTGCACAGTTACTTTCTCTGTCAAATTTTTCCTTCTCATCTGTTGTTCCTTGCGAACAGGGACGATTGGTGCAGGATACGACAGCATAATATCTTGAGGAGGGATCTCAGGCAGGGGTGGTTGAGGTATAGGCTGCAAATCTGGCTGTGGGACAACCGGTAGAGGAATTTTGACTACCAGAGGAGGTCTTGGATCTACCTGGGGTGACTGTGTTGCCGATGATGCAGAGGTTGTTGCAGATGTCGAATTACCATTTCCTCCATGAAACAACGCCTCGTATTGCTGTAATTGGGTTAGCACGCCAGTTCCATTCCCGAAGTTCACTACACCGGTGAATCTAATAGTCTCTCGTTGTCTAGGAGCTGCGGTAGTTGATGACCCATTCGATTGAGTGGAATTCGCTTGAGTGCCAGATGACTGAGTACCTACTCTTGTCTCGTCCGACTCGGTAGCCGGATTGGGCAACGAAGCTATTTGAACAGGGTTTACCGTATAACCAAAAACCTGTGCCAGGCCTGAAAGAATCAGACCTAATGCTCGTTTGTCCCGCGGATTACTTGCGTCTAAAGACTTCTCCCTCGTTTCTTGGATACTTGATGATGGGTTCGAAACAGGCTGATTTTTCCAGTCACTCTTCGCGGACAGAACGAATGCGGTCAGCACACCCAGGTAGCACAGAACGTGGAACATGCTAAGTTTCATCGTTGATGGCTCCTCGATCACTTTCTGTTAGGAAGTTATATTTTATGCATCGAATGATAACGAGGTAGCGAGGTTGAACACCGTGACATCTTCAATTATAGCTTCTTTGAATCGTCGTTACATATTATGTTGAGACTCTTCTCGATCTTCTTATTGGCGAATTCTTCTTTTATAATATCGGTTTTTTTTAAATATGATCGCAAAAATTTGATATGATTAATTATTATGATTTGCAATTAAATTATTATGATTTGGAATTAAATTTCAACGAGGAACATATGAAACAGGAAGACGTATTTCATCGTTTGATAAAGACTAAGTTAAAGAAGAGTACTTTTGTATCACGAGAGCCCGCGAGAACTGGACGACCAGTGTCGCAGCTAAGAGTCGTTAAACGAAACGTCAACTGGCGGGGATGGATTTTTGCATAACATCGGAAAGAAATGTCGAGTTTCACCTCAATTACACAGAACCGCTCGTTGATTTGAGATAACTGAAGCGATACATCGTAATGGAAAAGGAAGGTATTGCACAGAAATCGGATGATAGATAGGATGAGTTGCAATAAATTTGATGCGGATACGAGATAATTTGAATCGCACCTGTAGTTATAAATAATTACATGAATATTCGAATTCTTTTGATAAAAAAAAAATATAATATTTTTAAATGTAATTGAATTCAGCTTGAAAGAATAAGAAAAAAAAAAGAGGAAATACAATTATTTGGATTTGAGGATATATACAAATAAAAATTTTTAAATTTTAAAAGTTCTAAAATCCTTAAATTCTATAATTTTAAAATTCTAAAAATTTTAGATGTCTAAAATTATATTTTCATTTATATCAAATCGTCAAACGATATTCATTAACATTTATACCGTTTTGTTACATCTCTTATACGCATAGCTAATGCTCATCGATTTGTGCAGCTGCATTTAAGAAATATACTTGGAAGAAATTTTTAAAAAGATTGTTTAACTAAACTAGCTAATTCTTCTGACAAAATGATTTATGATATTTTGCATATGCACAAAATCATAGCATATTGTCTTACTTTTCTTTGAAGATTAAAACGATAGAATCAATTTCTTTTGAAACTTTCCACCTTACCCGTTTTAATATCTATTATTTACTATCTATTACATAACATACAAAAACTAACTAATTAAAAATATTCATACAGAGCAACTCAATTGATTATTTCTATAGAACAAGTAAAAATAAAACTATTTCTTATGTACAAAATGTTTCTTATGTTTCTGTTTCGCAAAATAAAATAAATCAACTTACAATAATTAATGAAATTATTCGAACGAAAGTTATATATATAATAAAAATATTCTAAATCAATCGATTAAAAAATAAAACAGTTCCGTATGTAACTTAAGCTCATTTACATTCACTGAATCCAATATGTTTTATACTTATCAAGTATTATATTACAAGAGATAACGATTATATCATTATTCAATAATCTAAGTTTAGATATTTGCTTGACCACACTTTCTTAAGTATGTCGATTATGTCACTTGTTCTCCACTCGGAGAAAGTTCGAGCAAACGGTGTCGCTATTCGATTTCCTGGACCGGTGTGATAAAACCACCTTATAGAGGCTATTATATCAAGGAAGAAGAAAAAATTAACGACATGAGTTTTCAACGATAGGAATTGGTAGAAGGTTCAGATCTTTATGTAATCGAGTTCCTGTCGTTTCGTTTGACTCTTCGAATAGTAGTCGATTCGCTTCAAATGCGTTTCGATCGAGCATCGTATCTAATAATTAAGTTAATAACTTAATTATCTCATCAGATTAATGATATAATGCGTAAATCTTTTGAGAACGTTCTCAGGTTTGAATATTCGTCTCATTATCTCGATTCTTTCGTAAATAATAGCGGATGACAAACATTATAGTAGCTAGTGTATTTTACAATCGACGAAATTACCGTGAAATTGTTATAGGATACATGCGATATTCGCATGATGATTGTTTAGATGTAATTGCGCTTGATTATTAGTTAGATAAAGATACAGTTTTTAACTTTGGAAAAGATAGTATTTGGAAAAAGTATGTTTTGGTGAATAGAAATGTATGGTTTTTTTTATCAACTTATGAAAGAAATTGATTTAATTGATTGTAAGCGAGAAGAAAAAAATAGAAAAAAAATTTTCCTTTGAACAATGTTTATATATAAATGAAATTGGAATTCTTTAAATCATATTTCTTCTATTCCAAATATTTGTCTATTCCAAATAAATATATAAAATAAATAAATAAGAAACGGATAGCCTGTAAATAAATATTTTCTACAAGAAACTAGCCTGATAAAATTTTTTTCTGAAACTCAATGGTAATCTTCATAATCAATGACCAAAACAATAAAACCAGATTTCGATTACATGATATTTCTATTGGGAATTCTGTGCTTTCCTCAATCCAGATGAATCTATTATCGATGCAACTCGTTACGAGATGCAATGATTCCATAGATGGAAAGCGTATCAGAGACTAGTTTGTTCGTTAGAAAATGTGGATCCAGAATTGAGTATATATAACCTGACAAACAAATTCCAAAGTATATCGGGTATAAAAGTACTGTTCATTCTATAGGTCACACAGTTGGTTGTCAGTTAAGCTTAACATGAATTTTCTGGTAAGAATAATTTTATGTCAAGAAAATTTAAAAAATTTAAAAATCTATTTCATTTTATTTCAAATTTGTTTCATTGAATTAATGTATCATCAGTTTTTTTTAATTTGTTCGGAAGAGTGCTTTGGTGACATTAGATAAACATTTTAGTCGTTGCTGTTTTTGACCATTCTTGCTTTGGGGGTAGCTACTACTATACCTTCAACTAGCATCTCTGAAAAATCGACGAGCGACATAGTGCAAAAAATAATTGCCGATAATCAAGCGCAACCGAATTCTCAGGATGAAATTGGCGAAAAAAAAGTGACGAAAAGAAGTTACGGTTGGAGTCCGTGGAATTATTATAATTATGGTTGGCCCTGGTATGTAGATTTTCGCAAGAAATTTTGCAATCTTAAATTTTGCGGAAAAAATAACCGTTTGCTTCAAAGATTCTTACAGATTTTGTAATAGGAAGTTAAATATTTTGCATGATTAATTTCCTGCTCTTTTAAAAATATTTGTGTATTTTAATTTAATTTTTAATCATTTGAGACTATAATAAAAAAAATAAAAATTTTAATGAATAAGTATGATTTAATAAAAAAATTTTTGATAACCTGTACAATCAATGTTTGTACAAATAATAAAAAATTTTAATTTTAAAATATTTTAAAATAATAAAATTATTATGATACATATATTTATTTATAATATATACAATCTTCATTTTTTTTACAAGAATATCTGAAGTAATATAAAAGAATGAAAATAATAATGTTTTTTGTATAAAAATATATATAAAATATCATTTTAGGTATGCCATAGGATGGTATCCAGGTTGGCCATATTATGGTCATGGATTTGGTTATGGTGGATATGGGCATGGATATGGTGGATATGGTGGATATGGTGGATATGGTGGATATATTGGATATCGTGGATACGGCGGATGGTACAAAGGATGGTAAATTGGAAAAAAATCATTTAAGATGTTTCCATAATTTTATAATACACAATTCTTCTTATTACTTAAATTTTTGCACTAATCAAGTATACATTAATTTAATTTAAATTTGTAATGATACATTGAGTATCATGTACATTACAATTTTAAGACTGAAATAACACAACTTTGGATACCCAAATAATATAAATAAATAAAATATATATAATTTACATAGTAAAATAATTTCACTCAATATTTGTCTGATTTTATCATTCAATTTTGTTCTTTAAATTATTCATCGTATTCATCATATTAACTATATAATTATTATTCATGATGTTTATCAATAAAAAAAAAACGGAATTACATATTACAAAAGGAATGAAATAATTTACACATACCCTTAAACGTTTCCTTATATAAGTTGACAATATTTCTTCACAAATAGTCAAATTTTTATCTGTATCCTGTAGAATAAATAATTATAATAGGTTTGAAAAACAATTTTTTAATGCTTGCAATCAACCTTTAAAATAGTTGTCAGCTCTTTGATCTTCTGTAGTTTAACTTGTTGTTGCTCGGATAAATTATTGCACACTCGTTGTGAATTAGTTGCGTACATTTCAAAACGCAATAGAAAACGTATTACTTTTTTCACTTTCGCGTTCGCAATCCATAATACTTGTGCACTCGAATATTTTACATGTACCTGATATGCAGTATAGTGTTGCTTAGATACAAAAGAAACAACAAAGACTTTATTGGATTTCTCTATAATGATTTCATATAATTTGGATTGATTTAGAGATAATTGAATTTTTTTAACCTATTAATATATAAAAACACACAATATATTTGTAATTTATTTTATATTTTTCATTTTTAACATCTGTTGCATTGAAGAAATCTGTAATATATAATGGATAATCTATTTTATCGACAAGAAGTTTATTATTTTGTTACTACAGATAGAATACAAAGAGTACATACAGAAAATTCCCATATGTAATCTATGACAAAAGAAAAACATGACCTGTGGAACTTTATGTCACACATTTAAAAAAATTGATTTCAAAACAAAAAAAAAATATTTATTATAGTCCATACGATAAGTTTATATAGAAACTACATTTACCTCATCATCGAAAGATAAAAATAAAAAATATTTACACATACGCTATGAATCTTCATTGAATAAGATCGCAAAAAAAAAAATTTGGTGTCCTACAACTCAGTGATAAATAAGGTAAGAAATTAATCTGATAGACAATACATATATACAACAAATGCAATATATTCTAAATTTAATTTATTATTAATATAACAATTAAAAATATGAAAAAACATTTCTCATGAATAATGCGTAATATTAGATTAGTAAAACATTCAATCACTAATGCTTTGCAAAACAAAAAACAAAAAATAGCAAAAAAAATTTAATATGCAATATCACAATCAAATTGCTATATAATTATACGAGACATAAATATATTATTTTATATATATATCAATATTACATATATTTATTATCATTAAAATATAAAATATTGATAATTAAAAAATTAAAAAAGTAAAAATAAAATAAAATATATTCATACACAGAAAGAACTAAATGAACATTCATAAATATTCGGAAAATAGCGCCATCACTAGTGTGTTACAAGAACATAAAAAAAAAGTACCGACAAGAAACAAATTAATGAGACATCTTACGGGATTCTCTAAACTAAATTTTGAAAATCGACCAACAAATATAACAACAACGCCATCTACTAAACTACATTCAAACTACATACACAATATTATCTTTTAAAGATATATATATATATATCTTTAAAAGATAATATTTTTCACTACATATACATATATATATATATATATATATATATATAATATCTTATAATTTTCAATTTTAAATATTGAAACGAAAATATTATTAACCACAATCTTCAACAAATAAAAAATTAATCACCAAAAATATAATCGCGCTCGCAGCCAATTAGCTCATATTATTTCCTATAAAATATATAATTGTATCAACAATATATAAATATATAATTGCAATGATAAAATTATATATTGTATATTAAATAAATATGATTTCCCGGGTCTCACCGCTTGGAGGTTGCTGCGAATTGGAGACCCACCCTAACCACGACGTCCCATCCACCCTCCTTTTGCACGAAGGTTTAATTAAAATAAATAAATTCTCCATTTGATGTGCGTTCGCAAAACGTTCAAACTTTTGATCGTTGTG